AATCTGGGAAAAAAGTATACCTTCAGCATCTCCTTGAAAACAGAATGATGCAGATACATAAACTGGAAGCTTTTTGTGCTGCTTGCCTATCCTGAAGAAGAATATAGTAAGCCTTCTCATAGCCCAAGGATGATGGTCCTTCAAGTCTGGTGTCTTGGCGGTGGGTTTGTAGGTGTCTGTGGAGCCCTGTTCTTGATCTCCATGTTATCCTGCAGTGATGACATCGCTTTCCATGTGGAAAGCGGTCCTGGTCAGAGTTGGCTTGACATGCCTTCCTCTTGGCGCGTTTCTCCCTTTTGCCCTTCATTCGTGCCTCTTCAAATTCTGCAGCACTGCTGGTCACAGCTGACCTCCAGTTAGAGCATTCAAGGGCCAGGGCTTCCCAGTTGCCACAGTTTTTAAGGTTGACTTTGAGCCTGTCTTTAAATCTCTTTTTCTGTCTACCAATGTTACATTTCCCCTTCTTGAGTTGGGAATATAGTAACTGCTTTGGGAGACGGTGATCGGGCATTTGGACAATGTGGCCATTCCAGTGGTGTTGATGCCGTAGGAGCATCACTTCAGTGCTGGTTGTCTTTGCTTCTTCCAGTACGCTGACATTTGTCCACCTGTCTTCCCAAGAGATTTGCAGGATTTTTCAGAGGCAACACTGATGGAATCATTCCAGGAGTTGAGTGTGATGTCTCTAGTCAGTCCACATTTTGCAGGGTTGGGAGAACAGTAGCTTTATAAACAAGCACCTTGGTCTCCCTTGTCCTGGTCCTCAAACACTCTCTGCTTCATTCGGAAAAATGCTGCACTCTCATGTGGTGTTGTATTTCAGTGTCAATGTTGACTTTTGATGAGAGGTGGCTGCCAAGGTAGCGGAAATGATCAACATTTTCTAATGTAACACAATTAAGCTGTATTTTTGGCATTAGAGAGGGATTGGCTGGTGCCTGCTGGAAGAGAGCTTTGGTTTTCTTGATGTTCAGCGAGAGACCGAGCTTCTTGTATGCTCCTGCATAGGTGTCTAGAGTGACTTGTAGGTCTTCCCTTAACTCTCATAACTGTGGAACCCATATCTGTAGGTTTACATACCTGTGCTGGAGGGGAAAAAGTCTTTTTAAGAATTTGCTATGTCCTCCAGGCAACACATCCCCTGGATGTTATCACATTATTGCGCTTGGAAGTCCTAGCACATTCTAAGAGGATACTCCTCTAGGAATTTCTGTGTCCTCCAGTGTCCCTCTATGATATGCTATGACTGGAAGTAAGGTAATTTAATTGAATTTGGTTGTATTTCACATAACCATAACTACTGCAGATACAAGGGCATTACTGTGATAGTCTTTTTTATGTGGAGAAAGTTATTCAGAGTACAGGATTAGGAAATACTTACATCCTAGTTATGAACTATCAGAAGAGAAACAGTAAGACTGGAAGTAAGGTAATTTATACCATATCAACACCATAGAATTAATGAAGTTTGACGGCCATGGCTTCATGTTATAGCATTATGGATGTTGTAGTTTTACATGATCCTTTGCCCTCTCTGCCAAAGAGTACTAGTGCCTCACCAAACTACATTGCCTAGGATTTTGGAGTGTTAAGCCATGGCAGTTCAAGTGGTGCCAAGCTGCATTAATTCAACAGTGTAGATGCACCCTGAGTGAATTGGTCAGAGCTGGGAAAAGCTACTTCTCTGGGACTTTCCTGGAATCCCGGGCCCAGTGACTGTGATAGTTCTAAGATTCTGGAAGCTGTAATTTCCAAAAGAACGTTGCCAAGATGTGAAATGCATATCACTATTCGTTAGTAAATTACATTTGAAAAAGGTATATGAACAACTGGTATATCTTCCAGAAGGAATCACTCTTAACACCAAGAAACAGTTTTCATTTAGTTTCATGAAGCTTTGCGTTGCAATGTCAAGATTTTGCATCTTGTTTAGTGTCTTTTGTACGTCAAGTATTTACAGTGCCAGTTAATCCATATCAGCATCAAGTCATAACACAAAATGTGGAGATGTTGAAACAAGATGAATACTTGTGCAGGGCACATTGGTAATAGCTGGAAAATGCTTGGTAACATCAGAATACATGAAGTCATCCACAATATAAATATGGGATTATAAAACTGTGAAGGAATTAGAGAATTGAACGAGGAAGAGTCTGAGCTCAGCAGTGGAGTATATGCTTTGTATGTCAGATGTCCCAGGTTGAGATCCTAATACCTTCACTTCGACCAGGAAACCTTTCTTTTTGAAACCCTGCAGATCAAAATGAACTAGCGGTTGTCTGACTTGTTATTTGTTCATAATTGGTCCAAATCCAAATAGAGTATTGCATATTCTCCCCTTTGCTGATACTAAGAATGCCGAGATCCTGCTAGAAATAATTGCTGTGATAGGAAAGCAACCCCACTAGTCACTTAAGTTTGTAGGTCATTAGTGTTTACTGAGTGAATGACTTGGCTGATGTGAATGCAATGGCTTCATTATTAAGAACCAGTATTTGGGTTTAGATGAATGGCAGTGTTAAAGCTCTCTTTTGGTGGATGAGGACTGGAGAGCTTTTTCTCCATGAAGAATCATATTTAGCTGGTTGGATTATGCATCACTTGAAAGCACTTCACTATCTATATTTTTCTAATTTCCCTCCGTGATGCATTTTGTGAGTAAAGGTAACCATACTAACTTGATGTACTGAGTCTATTACTAGCAATAGGACATTCAATAGGACCCATTCAAAGGAAGGCAGAGTGTACAGCAAATGTTTACCTGAAGCTTTTTCCTTGATTAAGGAAAATACCATCCTTTTAATTCTGAAAGTGGAAAGTGCAATTTCGAAAAGCCCAAGCTATGAGAATAGAGATGCTAGGAGATGGAAGAGTAAAATAAAAAGTCATTAAGAAAAAGCATCCAAGGGATAACGTTCTGTCCAGTGATTTGAACATAAGACTTAGTGAACTCTATGGTGTTTACTACGGAGTCAAAAAGTAATCCTAGTTATGACTGGCTTTGGTGAAAGTTGAGTGATAATTATGTTGCCTTTAAAAATTAAAAAAAAAGTATAGGGTATTAATCCAGAACAGTTAGACCCCCATAACTGTAGAACGCATACCTGCAGTTTCAATTACTTGTGTCTGTTGAGGGAGAAATAGTCACTCCAGCATTTGTTAGGTTCTCCTGGCAATTCTATGGTATACTTCCCCCCAAAGTTATCATACAGTTGTGTTGGAGGACCTAGCAGATTCCTAGAAAAGCTATTTTTCTAGGAATCTGCGTCATCTAATTTGAATTTATGGTATGTTGGCTGGAGCCCCCGGTGGCGCAATGGGTTAAACCCTTGTGCCAGCAGGACTGCTGACTGAAAGGTCAGTAGCTGGAATCCAGGGAGCGGGGTGACCCAGCACCCCATGCAGAGACATGAGAGAAGCCTCCCACAGGATGGTAAAACATCCAGGTGTCCCCTGGGCAATGTCCTTGCAGATGGCCAATTTTCTCACCCTAGAAGCGACTTGCAGTTTCTCAAGTCGCTCCTGACATGAAAAAAAAAGGTATGTTGGAACTGGAATTGAGGGAATTCAGTGGCATTCCATGGTTTCATATCCATGGTTTCACCTAACTGTGGTCCAGCCAGGACAGAATCCCCCACAGATATGAGTCCCTATATTGGGAGAAAGGTGGGATACAAATTAAGTAAGTAAGTAAGTAAGTAAGTAAGGAAATAAATAAATAAATAAATAAATAAATAAATAAATAGAATCATATAATATAAATTACTGTTTTGAGTCTTGAATCTATTTAGAAGTGCCCATGGGCTTTGACAGTTCTCATAAAATGGGGTAACTAAATATAAATGCAGGAGCATCCAAAGCCTTGCCTGTTACTATCATTTCAAGGAATAAAAAAGAAAGAAAGAAAGAAAACAAAAAAGGAAACCTGGCAGCCTGGATCTTCCATGCATTCAGCTGTGAAGTTGAATGCAAGTGGGTTGAATGTATGGAGCACACCACATTCTGATCCTTACAGGGCAATCTCTTCCCACAACATCAGAGATTTCTCCCCAGAAAACCACAATTTTGTTCCTAATCATCACCAGATCTGTTCATAAGCAGAATCCTCTCAATAACCCCCCCCCCCCCCAAATGCATAATTTCTTATATCTTGGTTTGTACGCTGCCCTATCTTAGAATCTCAAGATGGGCAGCAAGGTGGGAGAATCATGAAAAAAAACAAAACATTGCTAACTTGCTAAAAACCTGTCATCCTTTGTTGCTGAGAGGTAAATGCTTTCTCAAGGCTACTCAATGAGCTCTGTACTCTTGTCCTTTTACCATTACTGCAAGCACTTAAGCGACGCTCCTTGTACAAGACACTGAAATAGCCTCTTGGGTGCATGCTCCTCCTGCCTCTGCTGTGAAAGGAGAAGGGCATTTCTCTTCAAATTGTATTGCTGCAAAGACAGACAACAAGAGGGGGCAGCTATGTTTCCAGAATTACATTTGGCAGGAATTGTGTTTGTGTGTTCATGCAAATGTATATGCATGCATAAGTATGTCAAAACATATTAAGTCTTAGCACTTAATTGATATTTTTATCTGAAGTGCACATTATTTTGTCTATAATGACCCTAAAGGCACTAGATCCCATCTGATCTTGGAAGCTAAGCAGAGTCAGCTCTGGTTAGTACTTGATGGAAGGCCACCAATCAATACCAGGCACTGTAGGCTATATTTCAGAGGAAGGAACTGGCAAAACCACCTCTAAATATTCCTTGTCTAAGGAAATCCTCTGAAATTTATGGAATTGCCTTAAGTCAATAGAGGACGTTTGAAAGCACATGCACACACATAATGGTGCGTGGCTGTGCTGGGGAAAAAACGTCGTAGCACTCAGGAGCGGGGTAACAATCCTAATTTCAGATATGCTCCATCAGCATTACATTCTCCTTGTAAATATGCATTTGAAGGTGTACTTGATCCTTGCATTTTAATTGCAAATGTCTTTTATTCAGAAGTTGGTGTTGTCTTTGAAGAAACGGAAGCTTGTGACTGGTGGAGTCTGGGTGCCCTTCTCTTTGAACTTATTACTGGGAGGGTAAGACACTGCAGATAATTATAGAGCAAAAGATGTATGGCAAGGGATATTCACATTATTATTTACTAAAGGACAGGGTGCAATCTCCATAACACTCAAAATTCTTTAACATTCAGAGCAAGTGATGTTGTTGCATTGTTTTGCTACATATATGTATTCTTTGGCTAAGGGACAGGGTTCGTGTGGGGGCAACAGTGTCCAGAAACTTCTACAAAATCCTAGCCAGCATGGAAGGTTATATCTTCTGCATCTGTTTGAGATTGTGATGCGTGGGGAATTATTCTTGGCCATTTTCCTTGGAGAGATGATGAGAGGTTGGAGTATATATGAAGACAGAGTCAAGGCAAGCTACCCACTTAATGGGGCCTGTGCCTCTTCCCCCACTTCTTATAATATAAACAGAACAGAGGAAGGAATTCATCTATGTAATCTCCCAATGGCGCAATGGGTTAAACCCTTGTGCCAGGAGGACTGGCCGACTGACAGATTAGCGGTTTGAGTCTGGGGAGCAGGGTAAGCTCCTGTCTGTTGAGCTCTAGCTTCTTATGCAGGGATATGAGAGAAACCTCCCACAGGCTGGTAAAACATCAAACATCTGGGCGTCCCCTGGGCAATGTCCTTGTAGACGGCCAATTCCCTCACACCAGAAGCGACTTGCAGTTTCTCAAGTCACTTCTGACATGAAAAACCCTATGTAATAATTCCCCAGTTTTTCACTTTCACTACCAAATTCTCACAACCCCTTCAATAAAAATCTGCCAGCCATATTGAAGTTTTGGGTACAAGGCAAGCTGGTATTTTAATACAAATATTTAATTAGAAGAAAGTGATTCTTTTTAAATCATTGTTGGTGGCAGGTCTTCCTAGAACATCTCCCAGGTGAGACCGTAGTCTTTGGCCATGAGAGGAACTAAAATTGGATTCAGTTATGTCTTTTGAGAGACAGAACTTAGGCCTCTGAGAAACTATCAATTCTCTTGGAACTACCGTAATACCAATAATCATTCATTGGACAAGAGTTAACAAACTTAAGAATATAGAGAGAGGGAAAGACAGAAACAACAACAACAACAACTTTATTTTTGTATCCTGCTACCATCTCCCCGAAGGGACTTGGGGCGGTTTACATGAGAACCAAGCCTAAACAAACAGAGTTAAAATAAGCATGATAAAAATACATATACAAACATCATAAAACATACTTCATCATACAGCAACCAATAGCTGAGCTTATTGGACATTTCAAAACTAGGGAGTGGGGCAGTGACTTGTGCAATACAACTGCAAGAATAGGGCTGATAGAAAAATGCAAGAGCCAAATGATAAGTTAGGGCTGGAAGGGCCAAGTCAAACTGGTGCACTACAACTACAGGACAGGGACAATAGTAAAGTGCAAGAGATGAAAATTAAGTTAAGGCTGGAAGGGCCAATTCATCTAGTGAACCAATTAATCGAAGGCATATTGGAACATTCACGGTTTTAGGTCTTTACAGAAAGTGGACAGGGTGAGTGCTAATCTAATCTCTCTGGAAAGAGAGTTCCATATCTGGAGGCCACCACCAAGTAGGCCCTCTCCCTTGTCCCCACTAACCTTGCTTGTGATGGAGGTGGGAGCAAGAGAAGGGCCTCCCCTGCAGATAGGGGAAGATGCAATCATGATTAAAAAAAAAAACAACCATTCTTCAATCATCTTGAGATGTTTCCCCTGATTATTCTCGAGTTCATCCAGTCGATCAGGCTCCCAAGCTTGCATGTGAGAAAATTCATGAATGTTAATCGTTATCTTAAAAGAAAAAAAGACAGTACACTTATAAGTATGGTGACGTATATTACCTATTTTTCCTATTATTACTTTGTTTCACTAATGCATCACATTTCTTGTCGGTTGACTCTAGACCTTGGTAGAGTGCCATCCAGCAGGAATAAATACCCATACCTGTTTGAATTTGCCAGATCACATCTCGGAAGAGGCCAGATCACTTCTTCAGCAGGTAATTCCCTGGTTTCCTGTCGTGTTTGAACTATACTGGACAGACCCTTAAGAATTCAAATCAGAAAATATACTTAGTGTTCTGTAGGTTATCTTAGTGGGATTTCTGTTTTGCATCTCCCCGCTAAACAAAGATAAGAAGCTCCTTATCTTTGTTTAGCATTTCAGAGAAACAGAAGCAGATAGAACTGCACCTGTTCTTTAAAAGGAACAAAAGTATCAAAGACTTGACAAATGGGTGGCCAGCAGAGCAGTCTACACAAATGATATGCCCATAAAAGTCCATGATATCATAGGCCAAGATCCTGCATGGCAGAACATATGGGTTCTGCATGTTACACTGTTCTGTGTTATGCTATATCTCTCCAGCATTAATTGCCTGATTGAGAACAATGAGGTTGGATAATGTCTGTCTATGTTCCCATTGTTGTTCATTCGTTCAGTCGTCTCCAACTCTTCGTGACCTCATGAACCAGCCCACTCCAGAGCTCCCTGTCGGCCGTCACCACCCCCAGCTCCTTCAAGGTCAGTCCAGTCCCTTCAAGGATGCCATCCATCCATCTTGTCCTTGGTCGGCCCCTCTTCCTTTTGCCTTCCACTTTCCCCAGCATAATTGTCTTCTCTAGGCTTTGCTGTCTCCTCATGATGTGGCCAAAGTATTTCAACTTTGTCTCTAGTATCCTTCCTGCCAATGAGCAGTCGGGCTTTATTTCCTGGAGGATGGACTGGTTGGATCTTCTCGCAGTCCAAGCCACTCTCAGAACTTTCCTCCAACACCACAGCTCAAAAGCATCTATCTTCCTTCGCTCAGCCTTCCCTAAGGTCCAGCTTTCACATCAGTAGGTTACTACAGGGAATACCCATAGGCAGACTCTGGGGGGTTTCAGTGAATTTTGCAATAATTTTGTGTCTAACTATAGGGATATAACCAGATACACCACAATCTACTCCACTCTCATTAATCACTGAATGACCATGGGGAGGGGTGGGATGCAGCAGCTAAATGATGTGTCCAGGCTAGAAATGGGAAGGTCTGGGGAAAAAATCCAGAAAATGAGGGGTGGGAGTACGGAAAAATGGGGGGAAAACGGGAAGAAAAACCTCATTTTTTCCGGGTTTTTCCCAAGCCTTTCCATCTCTTGTCCAGACAGGAGCCTTGGGTTGTTGTGAAGGAGTAAGAAAATATCAACATCTCCATTACTGACCAAACAAACAAACACACATGCACACATCATATATCGGACTCAACTTTATGGATATTATTAGGAGAATGCCAATCATATTGGTTATGCAGGTAAAACTGGATAGTTGCCAAAAGAAAAACCTTTGACCCTTCAACCAGGAATTTCCGAGTCCCAGAACAGTGGTCTCAACCTGTGTGTCCCCAGGTGTTTTGGACTACAACTCCCAGAAATCCCAGCCAGTTTACCAGTTGTTAGGATTTCTCAGAGTTGAAGGCCAAAACACCTGGAGACCCATAAGTTGAGAACCACTGTCCTAGAAGCTTCAGCCAGCAAGTCCAATTGTAAGGGATTCTGGGCATTATAATTCAAACTACTTTGAAGGCCAGAATTTCCTCAACTCTGTTTTAAAGCATGATTCATGGGAAGAGGTTTAAAGAATAACAGAGAATGGAATAAGAGATTTTTACAGCTGCAAACATAGCAAGAGTGTGAACTTATTGCAAAGCCCTACTGATTTCACTGATCTTTAAGTGGATCTCCTGTAATGAGTGATCCAAACCTATCCATTGTGCATGGGATAGTTTATAACTCATGTGGTATCGTGATAAATTCACCCATAACTTAACCTCACTTAATTTAAAAAATCACCCCTTACTTGATTCACCCATTTGTGGCTTCCTCTTAGCAAAAGGGGTTGAAAATAAATGGAATTTTACCACTGGCATCTTTGAAAGCTTTTATTAAATAAATACATAGCAACGTTCAGTTCCTCTGAGACCATTAAGCCCAGTCATTTGCTATTTCCCTCCTCCCAAGTTCAAAGTCGCCGGGGTTTGAACAGGAAGCTGTCCCAGCCCTCGGCTGCACGTGGATGACTTTTCGGTGGAAGGGTCTGCTTCATTGGCTAGTAAATCAACCTTCTGTTGTATGTCTATCCAAGGAAACTACCATTCATTCTTTGAGGAAGCTTTGTCAGGAAAAGGAAAAAGGGGCTCTTGGCATGGCCAGTCATTTGTCATTGTGATTTTCCTCTTCCACCCCCTCATAGGTTGTTTGGGTCAACCCATCACTAAATGCCTAGGAGAGGAACATTGTGCCAAATGTGTCCTGTGACACGGCTTCCAAAACCAGTGACCTCATTTAGAGGGGAAAGAAAACACCACCAAAAAACTTCTCTTTATCTAGCCAACTCTCCAATTCAGAAGTCTTATTATTTAATTCCATTTGTCTAAAGATTTCCAATGAAGTGCTTCAGGCTGTCTGAACTGGCACTCTGTCTACAAGGTATTTCTTAAAGGTTGTCCCAGCCAGCATAATAAACCAACGTGTTTTCTATCCATGTAGATCTAGTGCAATTTATTCTGCATTTGCTTTCAAAGATTAAAGTTCTTTTTCTTGCAAAGGGGGAAACCTTCAGAACATAAATTTCTTTGCCCTTAACTTCACCACCTGCTGTCACTTGTTACATTTTTCCAGAGGATGGCAGAGTGACAATGACTGCGGCTGCTTATCTGCCGGCTCATGTATATTCACAAAAGAGGCTTGTTTTGCTATCTGCCTTATCTTTACCAAGGGAGGTTAGGGAGATTTTAAGTGGCGGAGCCAACTTAAGATGTGCAAATGAATACATTTTATGGGGAAATTTCTCACTTTGAGTATCGGGTGTCTGTGTTTGAAGGCATGTGCCCCAAAGAATACCGAGTACTCCTAAATGACAATTGGAGGTAGGGTGTTGCATTATACTTTAGTCAGTTCTTTAGAGGAAACCCAGAAATGAAATTATTCTTTTGAACTGTTTATTTAGAATGCGACAGTCTCATAAGATAGCAAAATGTAAACTTCAGCTCCTTTATCCTTGGTAAATATTTTCATGCCTCTTTGCTGGTTACTTCCTTTCAAGCAATCATTCTCCATCGGAATTTGCAGATATGAAGCGCCGGCTTCAGTTTCTACATATATTCATCCCCCCACCCTTGTCTGAATATATTGTAGATTTTTTCAGCACAAAATAAACAAGCTACTTAGTTTTCATAATGTTGCCCATAATCTGCTCCCTTTAAAAAGTGTTGAAGAGATTCTGGATGCCTCTTCATCTCCAGGATTTTAAATGGCTATGCAAGCTAAGATTGCAGGTGGGGCTTGGAGCTTTAAAAATTAACATATAATCTAATAAATATCTAAGGATCTAGTGCACTACAATATTAAAATGAGAATTAGAACACAGCCAGTGAATGAGAGGGAAGTGTGCTGGTACTCCCAGCGTTGTCCAAGCTACCGTATATACTCGAGTATAAGTCAACCTGAATATTTATTTATTTATTTAATACACTTGTATACCGCTAATATCTCAGCCTAAGTCGGCGACTCATTGCGGTTTACAACAATTAAAAACAATATACAATTTAAAACAACAACACATAGACAATACAAATTATTGGGCCACCAATAATAATACCATGTATCTCGTCACTAAAATCACAGTCCAGAATTCGTCATCCATAATTAACCAGTCCTTAGTCCATAAAATTCGGTGATAACAAACTAACCGAATGCTTGTTTACACAACC